TCAGAGCCGCCCCCGGGGGTGCCGCGCAGGCCGGCCCCGCGCTCCTGTCACCGCCAGCACCGCGGCTTCTTGCCCGCATCTTCTCGCCTGCTTTCTGCGGGGCCCCGAGGCTTCTGCTGAGGGCGCTGCGCGGGTGGGAGGGGGTGGCGGGTGTCTCCTGAGGAAAGCTAGAGGGGTGAAGCTTTTGGAGGTGTTCCCGCGTGGATCCTGTATTAGATCAGGACAATCTTCTCTGTTCTGTTTCAGTCTGCCGAGCGAAATCAGGCATCTGGAGTTAAGCTTGCACCACCATCGCTTGGCTTGTGATCAAAGTCATAGTGTTATTTTTATAGCTCATGTCCTAAATACATGCTAGGTCAGTTTTCTTCTCTCTTGTTTTGGGCTGTTCAAGTTAAAGCATACTCATCAATTTCCCAATCACATTATGAGTGTTTCTTCCTTTTCCTGATACTTTTCAGGTCTTTGCGTGAAACCAGCAACCCAGGCTGTAGCTGCTGTAACCTGACAGTTTGATTTGAAATGGAGAGCATTACACAGTTGTTCAGTGATTTGTGTGAAGCACACTTGACAGGTTTACCGTGGAAGGTCCACCTGGGCAGGCGGAAGGTCAGCAAGAGAAGAGCTAAGCAAAATCTGAAAAGGGTTGCTTATAATGCCCTGTTCATAAACCTTTTCCAAGATGAAGCTCGTAAGCTGCAATCAAACGTTTCCAGGCTTCCAGTGAAAAACAAAATTTTGATGCTGTCTTTCAACTTGAGAGTTGGTGGCCTAGGCGCTCAAGCGGATAGACTGGAGAATCTTGTGGAGGAGCTGGAAACAGCTGAATGCTTACCGTTTACTGAAGTTAATTCTGTCTTGGATCTCTTAGTGCAGCTTGCTGGAACAGGTCCTCCTCAGCTTGTACCACAAAAAAAGGACTATTTTCTGAACAACAAATATGTTGGGAGAAACGTCAAATATCAGGGTTACGATTATTATGATGTAAGCGTATTTGAAGCTGATATACAATCTCTAATAACCAACGAAGAATGTCAGTTCAATGACACAATTCAAAAGACGCTTCAGATAATGGAGGCTGCACCTGGCACTGGACTCCCTGCCATAGGGTTGTTCTCACAGAACTATCCTGTTGGTGACAAGTTTGAGAAAGAAACACGGGTCTCGCTCTTCGGTGCTCTTGTCCATAGCCGTACGTATGATATGGACATCAAGTTGGATTTGCCACCAGTGCCTGACAATGCAGATTTGTCTGGACTTGCAATTAAAGTATGGTACATTTGTTTCGGGCTTATGAGTGTATGCATGCCTTCAGTATGCCCCTTTGAAATTTTAGTTTAAAATGTAGGTAGTCATTTAATTTGTAACAGAAGCATACAGTGTTGGAATTTAAGGTGGAGCAGGGACCCTTTTGTTTGCTGAGGAGGAGATAAGCTTTTTTTGGATACAGAGATGTACAATAACAAAAACGTTGGGTTCCTATAACTGTGTAAGAAACCGTTGTGTGGCCATAGGCTTTATGAAGTTAGCCAGTGGCTGCATCTGTGCCTTCCCCACCCCGGTAATCTCTTGCTTGCTTTTTTGCCTGCTTTGCATATTGGACTCCTTTGCGTTGTTGCTTACGTGTTACTGTTCAGCCTGACTGCGGAAGCATTCCGGTCTGAATGTGTGCGTTTTGCTGTTCAGATCACATTGCCTAACGTGTTCTATTTTCTTCTTGGCTTGTGGTATCCTAAAGCATTTTTTTTCAGTTAGTATATTTCATCAAACCTCCTAGTTCCCACTGTCCTTTTACCCTTTCAGTGTGTACAGTTTCCACTGTATCTTGTTTTTTTCCCCTATTGCTGCCCATTCTATTTATTTTTGCTGCTTTATTCTCATAGAGGGACTAGATAAACTTGTTGGGGTTTGGTTTTTTCTTTCTTTCCATTTTTACTGTGTGTGGGTAGGTTTTTTTATACTTCTGTACTTCTAATCCTCATTTTATTTCCTCTGCTTAACATACGAATAGCTCTTACAGTTCCCTTAACTCAGGGAAGCTTGAAGACAGACATGTTAAAAAAAGAAAACCCCTGTGCCATTTAGTGCACACATATGGATCTAAGTTGTAGCTTAGGGGAGGCAGAATCTTTTTGAGTAAGTGCTGTACTCTTTCCATCAGACTGGAAAATTTGCAATTTCTTGAAGAACATGCTTTTTATGTGGGTGTGATTGATCTTTTACTAAAATTGAGTACTGTTCTGCACATAGAACTCCTGTTGAGTGGAAGGTGAGGATGTGGCATATACACTGTTTGGACACCTGCAGATTTTCTGCATGTGAATGTGCATAAGGGAATAAAATCATAGTTGACAAAATGTTTACAAATTTGAAGAACTATAGCCTGTATCATTTGCTCAAATGAATTACTAAGCAGGATGATTTTATTAGTGTTACATACTGTTTAATACCCAGAACTCAGATTCTTCATTTGTAGAACTACGTGCGAAGTTTCAAGTCTAACACCAACAAACTTAGTATGTTATTTTGATGGTGATTGTTTTTTTATGTATAGGCATTAATAACCCTTAAAGACTTAAGGAATGAAAAGAGTGCTTACAGGAAAAACTTAAAGTAGGTGCAAAGGGAGGGTGGATGAGCTGGGGTCCATAGACATCCGTTGAGTCCTGTAGAGTCACTTGATCACGAATGATGCAGAACAACTTCATTAGCGTATGTTTCTTCAGCAAAGCGTTTTCATGTATAACATTTGGACTCTCTCTGACAGGTTCCCCAAAGTATAGACCAGTCAGAAGATGAGGGATTCCAGTCAGCATCCAATCTGACTCCTGATTCTCAGTCAGAGCCGAGCATGACTCCAGACATAGACTTGTGGGACGCAGTGCTTACGTATGGACCCAGCAAACGAAGATGTTGGGAGAGGATTGGATAGTACGTGTCTGATGTTACTGGCAAACTTACTGTGCATCATATGCGCATGTATGAAGGTGCATTTCATCTTCATTCCAAATGACGTCAGCATAAACAGTGAAATGTGCATATTTAATTCAGAGAATTCAATATACTGCATTAGTGACAGAGAAAGGAATAAAGCATGCACTTTCAGCAAACTAGTTCTTAGATTGCAGCTGTTCCATAGGAAGAGATAAAACAAAATCATCTTTGTCCAAAACACTGACGAGATTATGGGAACGCTTGCTGTTTGTGTGAAATGCGACGTTTTTCTGACTAATCTGACTTACAATTTATCTCAGTCTAAAATGATTCCTTATTTTCAGTTTCAAAAGAGAAAGTGGCAGTTGTAGAGCACTAGAATGGTTAAACCCATCTCTCCCAGTATAGTATTGTATTGTATTCGTTTTACCTGTCTGTAACCAGAACAGGAACTACTACAACAGATTTCTTGATGGTGTAGTTAGACTTGTGGTTCTTTTGGCTGTTGAGTAGAAGATGCATCTTGTGAGAGAAGGCTCTCTATAGCCCTGTTAAAGCTTCCTAGCTTCCCTAAAGTGGAAGACAAAAAGGCAGGTATGGCTGGTATCTTCCTTACCTTCCTGATGAACAGTGGTGTGCCTGATTCTTGGAGAAACTTTGCTCCGTGTGTTTTCCGTAATTTTAATTAATAATCTAGTGATGTGTGTTGCAGTCTTATACAGCCTGAGAAGCTCAGGAACTCAGAAGTTCCCTGATCTGATTTTTCAAAGCCACAGTAGCACACTCTAGCTTTGTTCCTAGTATGAGACAGCTTTTCTTGCTGCCATTTAGACTCTAAGGATCTTAGAGCCAAATCTAGATCATATGCCTGACAGCTTTCATGTAATACAGGCTACTAGAATGCAGAATTTTTGGAAGAAGAAATTATTTTGGAGGGGATAGTAATCCTCACTGGGAAGAGCTAAAATGTGTTAATACAAGTCATTGTAGCATTTTGAGCATGCTGCTCTTTGACATATTCGAGCAGTAGTATTACATGGACCCTGGAAATCTGGTACGCATTGACCTCATTTTCCTAATGTGAAAACTGCGTCAGAGAAGGCCACAAGAGAAGGTGGTGATTCTCCGTCCAGGTTTCTGTGTCTGAACTGATGTTCAGATTACCTGTCTGTTTCTTCACTGTACAGAGTCTGGGCTACAGTTTCATTGACTGAATGCACATTCCCTTGAAAAGGTACTATGTTACTAGTAGCTTTTTCTATAGTCAGTACCAGCTGTGTAAAATTCTGAAATGCCTTTTTTTCTTTAGGAGATGTATTTCCTTCTTTTCATATAATCGTCTTGTCATGTTGTATTTACTCTGACATAGCCCCCCTGGTAAAAAAGAGGAACCGTATCTTACTGAAGCTGGGAGAGAAGCTTTTGACAAATTTTACAAACTTCGAGAAGGAGAATTGCAGCTGTTCAGTAACACTGTACTTCAGCTTCCACAGCTTGTGCTAATGAAAGAACCTGAGCTGGTTAAGGATGTCTTGAACGTCCTCATTGGCGTGGTGTCCACCACCTTTTCACTCAATCAGGTATGGAAGATTTTTAACTGCGCTTCTCAGTCACATCTTTTTCTTTTTTTCTTTGTAGAGGTTTCCTTTTCAATACATTTATTTCTTTTGAGACCTTGCAGTTGTGGGTACAGCTAAAAAGCTGAGTGCGACCTAACGGCAATAAGGCAGCATTTCTGTGTTCTGATGATGATGTTCCTGCAGTAGGCTAACAGTATCTGTAGTCCCTTCAGTGAAAAGGGGTTTTTGAATACTTGAAAATAGATGTGTAAAGAGTTTTGGAGATTGGATTTTCTTTAAGGTTTTAGATAATGAGTCTTATTCTGTATATCTGAAAATACCATTCATACTCCTGACATGTTGCTACAATTTAATGTGTTTATCGCACTATCCTAGCTATACAGTCTAGTATCCAGAGATACCAGAGTATCTAAACTGAATATTTGTCTGCTGAATTTTTGTGTGTAAATGTTTGCTATCTTAAATCAGAATATAGCTATGAAATGTTTGAATCTGCCTATTTTTTCCCTCCCTGTATCCTTTTAGGCTGCTCAGACATTTGTGATAAAGGAGGGGGTATATGTATCTGGAACTTCACCAGAGACAATGCACAACCTACTCTCAGAAGTTGCAGAGTATGGAACCTATTACACACGACTAAGTCGTTTTTCTCTTCAGCCAGTTTTAGATTCTTCGTACAGCAAAGGACTTGTGTTTCAGGTAAAACATTTGTATTAAATCATCTAGATTTAATGGGCCAATTATCTTAGGTAGAGCAGGTAACTTTGATTTTGTGTAAAGCTGGAATTTCTGTGTTCTGCACAGCTGCAAAGCATTTTAAGTGCAGTGCTTGTCCCAGGTCGGCAGTGAATGGTGCCACTGTGTTTAAATCACAGCTTTGTGTGCTTAGGCCTTGCTTGCACTGAAGCACGTGGTGAAAGGTCTGTATTATGTGAAGGGTGACTTGTTTAGGCATGTTGTTCTGTTGAGGGCTAAAGGAATATCATTTTTAGATGTTTTAAAAACATTACATCTTTAAGATGTATGAAATTAAAATACAAGAACTTTCTTAATACTGTGTACGTATATAATAATATTTGAAAAAAAGAAATGGAGAAATGTGATATTTAATAGCTTTAATTACTTTTTTTTTTTCTGTTCAGAGTTAAGTGCAAATTTTCCCTGTCAGTCCTCTGTATATTATGTGGAACCGTACATACACTGTGTAGTATCAGGTGATTTAATCTCTTTCTAATGCATAGAATTAAGTTAGGATTGGTTATGAAGATATATTCCTTCTGTATATTTGATTTACAGCAACGTTACTAGAAATTAATTAAGAAAATCTCTCTCCTTATCATGTTAGAAAAAGTTCTGGACTAGTTTTTTCCAGTATCCAATTTAGGCATGAAGGTAAGGAAACAGGTTTCCCTAGGTTCATATTGTAGCTATTAGAGAATGAGGAGCTCCTCAAAGGGCAACTCAAAGAAGCTGAGCTGAGCTGCTTTATTATTGTGTGCGTGGGTACAGGCACCGTTCACTGGATGTATAAAGGGTATAGAGGAGTCATCTGGCTGAGGGGAACGTCAGAAGTTGCATGGACTTTTACTTTCCCCTTACTTTGGTATACAAGTCCCTCTTACCTGCATATGCAAATTGTTTGAGTAAAAGGTTTATTTTCATGCTGATGCAATTGATGTGAGACCTAGATAGACTATTAAGAGCTTTCATAGTAAGACTTTAAATGTTTTCTGTTGATACTAGGCATTCACAAGTGGGCTGAGAAAGTATCTTCAGTATTACCGAGCCTGTGTTTTGTCAACACCTCCTACTTTAAGTCTTCTAACAATCAGCTTTCTCTTCAGAAAATTAGGTCGTCAGTTGAGGTAAGCGAATAATATTAAATATTTAAGCTTTTCATAGCAGAAAAAGCGCAATTTATTTCTTCATATACACTAAAAGAGATAATATTACATGGACATGCTTATGTAGTCTTTTCGTATTTTTCCTCTATTTTAACAGAAAGATTTCTTTATATCCAGGAGTTTCTAGGGAAAACATGTTAAGATCTTTATCTTCAGTTCCTTTGTTATCCCTGTTATCGTTCAGCTGATACAGTAGGGTGGTTGTATGATATTCAACTTTAGCAGAGTTCATCACTGTCATCTCAGAGACTTCTGGTTGAGATTGTTACATCTCTTTTAATATTGTTTTTTAGGTATTTAGCTGAACTTTGTGGCATAGGAACAACAGCGGTGGGGATCAGTGGTGGAGCTGGTGCTTCATTTCCTACGGTGATAATGAATTTGATGGTTTTATGTTTGGTTTGCGTTACAATGTTAATATTCTTCAAGATTAGATAGGACTTAACACAGAATGTTTAGTGTTGGTCTCTCTGCTACCAAAGATACGACCTTGGACCTCCAGTTAGAATGCCATGATCCTTTCTCCAGATATTTTAAATTTTGGAATTTTGTCTTGTGTTTTCAATTCCTAAAGTAAACAAAGGACCTGAAATAAGCGTTATAGTGCTTTGCATTTCATTCTAAAGGAGATGTCTGTAGGAAGTTGAATTAATCCATCTCTAAACATAGATGTTTCCCTGCAGCAACTATAAAGTGAGCTTGAGGTGACTAGCTGAGATAAAGTGATCTTAACTGCAGATAGTTAGAGGAAGTGAAATGGATCCTGCCTTCTGTGTCTAGTGAAACATGTGAATCTGCATATTTGTGAGTCTTTTGTTATTAAAGTTGTAGCAGAGTTTGTTGCCTAATATAGAATATTTTTCAATTTTTTTAGGGTGTTAAGTTGCTTTCTTATCTGTACAAAGAGGCTCTCAACAACTGTAGCAATGAGCATTATCCAGTTCTTCTGTCTTTGTTGAAGACGAGCTGTGAACCTTACACAAGGTGTGTCCATACTGTTCTCTGCATAATTGTGTTTAAGAGCAGTTCTGAATTAGTAACCTGGGGAGTAACTGCTAATTTAACAATGGCTTTTAACCTTTTCAGAGAAAATAAAAGATGTGGCTATATCTGCAAAATACATATTAAAATTAATTCATTTTGCTGAATCCTTCTTTCCCAGCTCAGTAACAACATAAGGGTTTTATGTGTCACTAGATTAGTGAATAAATACATGTAAATAAGACTTCTTTCTTGCTGCTGGTCCTGGAAATTCGTGCTGGAATATAAGACTCGGTTAAGCTTCTATTTTTTTTTTCTTCTCGTAGCTATAGTAAAATCCTGAAACTGGCAACTAAGAGGTTTCTCTTGGTGTGGCACAGACTGGGAAAGTTTGAGATTATTTCCAATGTCTTTTGTAGGCTTTTCAGTAAGCAAAAACTAAGAAAAAAAAATCTGTTGTTGATTAAGAAGATGTAACTAACTAACAATAGGAGGTAGAGTTCCTTGGGTTGCAACAGTTTTGTGAAGCAGTGCACATCAGTTTAGAAATTGTTCGAGACTTCTGAAGAGACGCTAATTTTTTTTAAATGTTAGCTGTTTATAGAGATTATAGCTGTCGTCCATTACTAGTGTGCAGTGATACTTAGTAGATATGATGACACTAGAAAGAGAAAACCAAAATCTGTCAGAATGCTCTAAATTTAAGATTCCTTCCATGGCCACCCTTTGTGGTTTTTCTTCCTTTTACATAAAATGTTTTTCAGAGAAGTTTGATTTTGGATTTATCAGAAGACTGATTGAAATATCTTCACAGCTCCTGCCCTGCAGTTTATAGAAAGTGGTTGGATTTCTGAAATACCAAGGGCAGGATGTCATGGCATTGCAAGGAACCTAAAAAATGTGGAAGTATGCTTACTAGTATGTGATACCTACAGCATTGACTTCTAAATTTGTTGCAGATCTCTGTCGAAACATCAGTCATACATGATCAGGGCTGCTGTGGAAGGAGGCCTCCATTATCTGCAGAAAGTGTTATCCCACTCATTTATTGACCTGAAAGAAATTAAATAACAGAAGTTGTTGCTCAAATAAATCATAGAAACATCAGATTTAACACCTTAAAAGTTCTTATCTTTTTACTTACAACCTTAAAATTGAACAGTGGTTCCTGGGCTAAATGCTTCCTGTTTGTTATACTGACCCAACATCTAGAAACAGTGTTAGTATTGCAACTAGTAAGAAAAGAAAAGATTAGTTTCAAGGTGTTCTGAGCCTTTTTCCCTATAGTTTCTTTTTTTATTTCTTCAAAAGTTTGGTTTCACATAGAGGGAATATGAAAAAGCATGAATAAATATTCCAAAATAGTAGTTCTCATACATATATCGCAGTATCTCATAATGTATATATACAGAATATATTAATGTATATTAAAAATGTCTCTAGCTCTGGGGAGGAAGTGATCAATATTACATCTTTGCTTTATACACTTTCAGTTTCTCCCTGATAAAATTACCTCTCTATAAAATAAATCCCTTCTGCTTATCTCTCCCTATGCTTTTGATGCACTGCAAAGATTTCTAGAAATTTCTAAGATACACTGAGTAAATTAATATACAGAAATAAAAAGATTGTTTTAATTAAGGCAATGTTCTTTTATCTTAACTAATTGTCGCTGAAATGTTCTATATAAAGATAGTTTCTTTTAAGAAAAATGTAGAAACAGAGTCCTGTGTGTATCTTTAAATATCAGTGTGACAGCACTTAGTTGCTGGTTTTTATCCTGCCTGTAGCTTGTATGTTTTGGTGTTTTAAAGAGTATACTTACTGTTTGGTTATAATAGGGGGGTGAGAGGATTGATTTTCAATATTGTACAATTTTTTTTTTTTTTAGATTTATCTATGATTGGGTATACAGTGGTGTATTCAGAGATGTTTATGGAGAATTTATGATCCAAGTGAATGAGGATTATCTTTGTTTCAGAGGTACAGTATCTATACAGAGCATTTCTAATTTATATAATTTGTGCTGTTGATTAAATAGTTAAAAAGATACACTTTAATCTTTTTGTTTGATGTGTAGATAAACATTACTGGACTCATGGTTATGTTTTGATTTCAAAAGAAGTAGAAGATTGTGTCCCTGTATTTCTTAAACATATTGCTAATGATGTATACATATGTGGGAAAACCATAAACTTGCTGAAATTGTGCTGTCCTAGGGTAAGTTTTGGTTTGGTTTCTTCCTATATTACATTAAGAAAACCATGTCTCTTTAGAGCAAGTTTCTAGGTTTTTAATAAGTTCTCTTCTTTATCGAAAACTGGTATTGCATAAGTAGGATGTTGATTCGTGAAAGGCAGTTTCTTGCTCTCAGATATTTGTGAGCTGTTTATCCACTCTACTTGCCAACACCTCACTGCAGAAATACAAACTTTTGACAAGATCAAATTTATCCAATGCACGTGCTATATTTCTTATTTTCCTTTGTATTGAAAGCAGAAATATTTTAGGCTTCCAAGCAAGTGCCTTCCATTTTTCACACAACTCACACTACTGTTTTTTGATTTAAAGATGCCTCACTTGCCAGGTGTTGACTCAGTTCTGCATAGCTCTTGTATTTCAGCTCTATTCATTTCCAAGAAGTGCTCACATAGTTCTGTTTATCCATATTTTGCAGAACAAGTCTTGCCCTTGATAAGAAAAACGATGCTAAAATACTTTGTGGGTTCCCTCTTCTCTATATATGTCTGACAATGAAACAACCA